ACACGGGCTGGAAGCATTTGCCTTTAGGATGCTGAAAATGAACAGGCAGGATACCATAGAGCATTGGATGCTGGCATTGCAGTCTTGTCTAAACTGTAGAGAATTGTGTGCACCCATATTAAGCTGTAGTGACTAACAGTCCAGAGACCAAAATGATCACAGGAGTTAGATTTGGCTCCTTAATAAACTATAGCAGTCCCCTGATCAGCTTACTCTTCCAAATGGGACTAGCTTCTTGAAATAAAGCCCGTTGTCTTTTTAATGTGAACACTATGTATAATGAATTGGATGCTCCTAACTCTAAATGGTCTTGCTAGCATTAATATTTTATCTAAAGTAAAATACAGATTTACAAGAAGCCTTAATAACCATATATCAATAACTGATTTCTGTTATAGATAATCTACAGCTGTCATTTAGAAGAATAGTGAATTATGGCAGAAGGTAGCTTTGAAAACTCTTAAGAAGTAGCCTAGTCCTGTAGGATATGGCTACACGTCCTCTTTCTTGCATTTCCCATAGCTCTACATACAGACTTTTTTGGGGGGACTTACTTTTGACACTTCTACAAAATAACATCATTATCTTGAATTTTCCCTCCTAGTAGAAAAAATAGAAACAAACACATCCCTTACAGTAGACCTTCATTGATTGATGCCTACCATGTGTAAAGCACTGTGCTAACAGTCATAGAGCAGTACAGTAATGCGTCCTTCATTTTACTAAGATTTTGAGGCCTAAACCTTTACTAATAATTAAAAAAATAATTTTAGTATATATTTTATGAAATACATACATAATTCATATTTCTAGATATTTTAGATGGAAAATAACTGTTTGGCTTTAAAAGAAAGAATTGCCCCAAATGGAGTGATTTATGTAGTGTAGGAAAATTGCTCTCAATATTTTATTTCTTGAAGTAGATAGTGGTTAAATAGCCGCTCATTTTATAATTGTTAAACTGTTCATATCTATATGTTATATTCTTTTCTGGTGGTCCATTATAATTTACAGTGAAAAAGGAATGAGGGGAAAAGATTTTTCCAACCTGAAAATATCTTCTAGAGCAGTGCCTGAAATTCCATTGTGATCAGTTAATTATTTTAGTTAATATTTGGCTTCTCCTCTGCTTCTTTACAATGGAACTATTCTCTGGCCAGTAAGACATGAGAATGCAAGCCTTTTAGTGTGATGGGTTTGTCAGATCACCTCTTCTCCATAGCGCAGGTATCTGAGCTAATGTACAAGGGACGGTTCTGAAAGGTGCTAGGATGGTGTGGGGGGAAAGAGGCTTGGAAAGGAAAACAGTAGTGTACATCAGCATCATGGAGAGTGAGGAAACCTCAATAATGGGGTGCCTGGGTGGCTCAGTCAGTTGTGTCTGACTTTGGCTCAGGTCATGACCCCAGGGTCCTGAGATTGAGCCCCATGTTGGATTCCCTGCTCAGTGGGGAGTCTGCTTCTCCCTCTCCCTCTGCCCTTCACCCCACTTATACTCTCTCTCTCACACAAATAAATAAATAAAACCTTTAAAAAAAATAAAAAGGAAACCTCAATAATGCATATCCTATCTCTCTCACTTTGGCAGATTTCAGTAACCAACACAACCTAGCTTGACAGAATTGCTTACCTTTCTTCTCAAATGGTAGTGTGATAACATCTCACTAATTTTACCTAATTAGTTAAAATACGGTGTTTTAAAAGTATAGTTACTACTTTTAAGTGCACCTTTAGCAACATAAAGAAAGCTAATAAATATTGCCTAATTAGGGCTTTTTCAGCACCCTACATCCACGAATAGAAAAGCCTAAGTTATAGTTAGCAAATGAGTGTTATATAAGGGTATTCTTTAGAAGTGCTCCCAGGAAGTTCATGCTTGTAAGTAGCTTTTCCCCCCTGTAGTCTCTTTTCCTCATAACGTTTTTAAACCCCAGGCTTGTCCAGCTCACGTAGTTATAGAGAAGAGGAATACATATAAATAGATTTTTAGTTAGTAGTCCACTGTTTTGAATATAAAAGAACCGTGAATTAGATTGTATTATTGCCAGTACCTTATTTATTTATGCTGTGTATATGAGAGTTATATGACTGTTAATAAAATAGTCTTGACAGTCAAACAATTTATTTTTGAAGAAGCCTGGCTGAACTGTTTCTGAGTGTTTGAGAGACAACGTGTTGTTTCTGAGTGTTTGAGAGACAGCGTGTGTGTGGGGTTTTTTCCTGAAATTCTTTTGGAAAAACATCCATCTTGTTTCATCTCAAAGATAGTAGGAAGGGAAAAATGAAGGGGGGGATATCGGAGGGGGAGACGAACCATGAGAGACTATGGACTCTGAGAAACAAACTGAGGGTCCTAAAGGTGGGGGGGGGATGGGTTAGCCTGGTGATGGGTATTAAAGAGGGCATGTTCTGCATGGAGCACTGGGTGTTATACGCAAACAATGAATCATGGAACAGTACATCAAAATAAATAAATAAATAAATAAATAAATAATATATATATATATATATAGGATGTTGTGAATAACCAGACATTGGTTTATTTAGAAAATATATATACATACATAGTTTGAAACTTTTCTATTTGAAAATATTCCTGGATTTGTCTGCCTGTTTATTAATTTTTCAGAAGATTCAGAGAGAAGGAAATGAGGCAAAAGTGTTAAACACCCTCACTTTCTCTGAGGTGATCGGTTGTTAGAGTAAGAAAAGACTAATAATCAGTCTAAAGAGATGAAAAGTGAAGCGAACCTGGGCTTACTCTTAGGCTAGTCACAAAGGGCTCTGGTCCACGTGATGCTCACCTTTACTCAGTGCTGTTTCCGTCGGTGTTACTGGAACTGGGTGTTGGGCTCTCCTGTGTTCCTTCCTCTCCTAGCCTGGGAAAACAGCCCCAGTTTAATATAGGTCCCTTCATTTACATTATGAATTAGTAATACCTACTGAAAATACCACATTTAAAAAAATTTATTAGGAACAATAAAAATATTAACATTGGGCACACCTGTCTAGAGCCCCAGTGAATTAATCCCTCCCACCACTGCCCCAGGGCCATTTCACATGGAGTTCCACAGTTGAGAAGCAGCTCCAGCCCAAATCTGTGCCTGCAACTTTGGGAATCTGCCCTTGGGATTGTTGTTAATGGTTATGGCAGAATAGACGATGACCAGCCACTGCCGATGTCCCACGGCACACAGGGTAGTTCAAGGGACTGGTTTTGTCCAATTCATCATAGCTGGTGACATTTTCTGTAGACTCCAAACTGCTTTTCTAATGCTTGGACTCTGAATGTTGCTCCAACATGAATGTACCTTTAATGCCACATAGATCTTCAGGCTTACCTTTGCATTTCAGGATTCCAGAATAGGAACAAAATTCAGATATTAAATCCATTTCTTATTATGATAGTTTTAGGAGCTCTTCATTGAAACCACTGTTCTCTCTGTCCAAAGTGTATTCATTAATGTTTATTTTTCCTGATGAGTTGTCAAACGTGCCTCCAAGTGTTCTGAAGAGGCTGTCTCTTCCAGTGGACCCTTAATTTACACTGACTTTTTTTTTTTTAAAGATTTTATTTATTTATTTTTTGGGGGGGAGAGAGCATGAGCAGGGGGAGGGGCAGAGGGAGAAGCCGACTCCCCGCTGAACAGGGAGCACGACACAGCAACTCAGGACCCTGGGATCATGACCTTAGCCTACTGAGCCACCCCGGCATCCCTATTTACACTGACTTTTGAACTGTTTGAGCGTGGGGTGCAGATGGCACATGGAAGGCCATGTATCATGGTTTAGAGCTTAAGTCTCTAGAGCTAGACTTCTGGGTGTCAAAGCTGGTCCCCTCACTCATGGTCTGTGGGACCTTGGGAAAGGCCTGTTTTTCTTATTTTTAAAAATGGGGATAATATTAGTATCTATATTATATAGGATTATTTTGAAAATTATATAAATAAATAAAGTGCTTGGGATAGCACCTGACACATAGTAAGTGCTCAATAAATATTAGCTCTTAATAGTATTACAAACTCACCCTATGATTCAAAAACTGTAAGTGCTTAGTGGTGATCACACTTTGGATTGAAGGACTTGAACTCTGGACATAGTTCCGCAAGATGCTGCTCTCTAGACACACCTGCATGTCACATAGAGTTAATTGAACAAGGACTTTGGGCATCCCCTTGCTGGTCTCCCTTGTACTTCTCAGAGTGAGGCGCAAACCACTTGAGAAGGGTAATCATCAGTCCTCCCATGTCACCCCTGCAGGCTTATCAGCGTGTGTCCTGAGAATGGGATCCAAACTTCCTGGGTGGGCCTTGGCTACTTATCTTTATTTGGAGCATGATTTCCAACATTGTGTCTGCTGAGGGCTCCCTCTGCTGGTACATCTAGCATGGATGCAAATATGTGGAATAGTAGCTTTTAAGCAGTTTTAGGCTTTTCGAGATGTTTGTATAAAAAAAAACCCCCACACATTGAACTTTTTCTTTTTTACATGTGAGTGATAGAAATAACATCTGTATTACTCTTTTTTGCCGTTTGCATTATGAGTTGGAATATTTTTGGTTTGATTTAGAATCGGGGCTATCATGGCATGCCAAAAAACAGTCATTTCTTCACCATAGTTATCAGGGACTGATTATTAGGTCTTAACGTACCAATATATAGTACTAAATATTTTAGAATCCTGTTTTAACAGTCTAAAGAATATCCATGATTTGGGGACTTAGTTAACTCTTAAAGTTTCAAAAGGGCCCATTTTCAAGTGGTGTCATATCCTAGACCCCCTTGGACGTTGTTATGGTGAGGGCTTAGTACATGTCAGGGAATAGTACCTTAGATTTATTGGCCGATTCATTATTTATTTAGAATTATAATTTATCAATAAAATGTGCCATGATGTCCCTAAAATTGCATTTTAAAATAACTTTTTGGCTTCTTTGTGTTTTTTTTTTTCACCACTATCTCTTTTCTTCCATCTTTCCTTCCCCCTCTTCGTTGCTTAGGATCAAACAGCATAAATCGGGTAACAGCAAACGTGGAAAATGGAGAAAATGAAGGAACGACTAAAATTATTGCACCTTCACCAATAAAAAGGTCAGTCGGTTAACTGAAAGAACACATGTCAATATGCTATCACAAAAATGCTTTTTCCTGTTGGCAAGGTGAAGAATCTTTTTACTTTGATAGTTAATACTTTTGATCAAAATAGTCTATGAGCCAAAGAATACTTTAAAATGCCAGTGGAGGGGCTCCTGGGTTGCTTAGTCGTTAAGCGTCTGCCTTCGGCTCAGGTCATGATCCCAGGGTCCTGGGATTGAGCCCCGTATCGGGCTCCCTGCTCCGCGGGAAGCCTGCTTCTCCCTCTCCCACTCTTCCTGCTTGTGTTCCCTCTCTCTCTCGCTGTCTCTCACTGTCTGTCAAATAAATAAATTTTAAAAAAAGAAGGTCAGTGGAATATAAACAACAGGACCTGCCTCTCTCATTTGAAGGAAATGCTCCTGCTGGCACAGCATGGTGAACTCACAGTCCGCATTCCTGGCAGTAAAGGGAAAATTCCACATGATTGTTAAAATGGCATGATATCATGGACTTACTCAGAGGGACCTGTGACATAAAGTAGATGATATTCATGTTTAATGTCCTGTGTTCATCACCACGGTGCACTGAACTGTGGCCCTGGGAAGAGGGCTTATAGCATTTAGAGGCGCAGGGCTTCCGAAGTCAGTGATTGCATATGTATGAAGAGTTGTCATGGTCCTCTGCATCAATTTTCCCAGCAGCATTCCCCAGTGGAAAGGCTTTCTCTCAATATATTACATGGATTGTTTCCATGAAAGATCAGCCTTGTTCTCTGCTAAGACACTGTTTCGGCGTCAGTTTTTCCTATCTCCAATTATGTTCACGGAACAGCATTTGAGAAATACAATGAGCAGCTTTCATCAGCTCACTTTGTCTATAGCGATAGCTCCCCACATCATGGAGAAGTCCAAGCAGTCAGAAATACGTGACCTTGACAGACGTCTTTGATCATCTGCTCCATCTTTTGTTAGTAAATAATGGTGTCTTCATTCAGCTGGGTTGTGGCTACGTGGAGGAATACAGTTTATAATTTCCTAGCAAAAGAATTCTAAGATACGAGGATTCTCAGAGTTGTGGTGTTTTCCCCCGGGTTTTGCTTACATTTTCTTTTGTTTAGTTTGGGGACACTCCCTTTATGGATTCTATTTGGGATGCCAGGTTCTTTGCCTTTGTATACACTTTAGTTGAGTGTGCTTGCCTCCGTCAGCCTCACAGCTGTGGATAGAGTGTCCGCTTAATCTGTATGTACAGGGTACGCTTATGGTAAGTCCAACATAAGAACAGTAATCTGCCATGAAATTCAGATCCCAAGCCTTTTTAGAATGTACAGAAGGAGTTCAGTCCCCTTTACAACTGCATTCTTGCTGATAGGACTGATACCTGAAGGGCCACCAGATTTTCCCACTCAAGTTCCAGACGAGAAATGGCTTAGGGAGTGAATGCAATTAATCAGCCACCCAGGATTTCATTATTCTCTAACTTTCGCCTGCTCTCCCATTTCCCCTTTCATCTCCCTACTGCATTTCTCAGTCTCCCTCTTCGCTTTTCCCTTTTTTCTTCTCTGATTTATTAAACACACACACTTTCTACTGTTTTATTAAGTATCTACTGTATTTATTCTTCTCATGTCAAAAGTAAGATTTTACTTCGGGCATTTGATCTTCCAAAGATTATTTAAGTTTAATCAAAATACTGTATTGGTCAAAAAATAAAACCTACTTACTATATGCTAATACAATGAATTAAGTGCCTATGTCAAATATATAACTTTTTAGATTTATATTAATTTCTGTATGGGTGTAGTAGGATACAAGTTTATTTCCTTTTTTGAAATAACCTTGTCATTTTTTTCCTCTCTTCTTTGTTGGCTGTTATAAAGAATCCTGCTATGACCTGCTATAACCATGTTCAAGGACATTTATATAGAGGATACCTCAAAAAGCCAGGGTTAAATGTGGATTAGAAGTTAAGTAGCTCTATCTTTTCCTGAGGCTGAGACTCTGGGGATGTGAGAGATGATACACTTCCCCTCCCTCAGTGGTGGCCCAAGGCTTCTGATGAGTCCTTTCCTCTGTGTTTCCCCTGTGTGTCTAAAACAATTTGTTGAGATTGAATAACAACTCAGTTATATTTACATTCTTAGGGCAGAAAGATGATACTAGGTCAGGAAATAGCATTTGGAAGTCATTCTGATTTGGAAGGATGAAGCCAAGATATGGCGGAAGCTGGGGGCTGGGAAAGATCGGTTTGGGTAGCCTGAACTTGTCCACAGCTGACCTACCTGCACAGATTTAGATCCGGAGCTGAAAAGAGGGAGCCAGCCTCATGAGCCCTCATACCCCAGCTTTCCTTCCTTGTCAGCATTCTTCTTTTCTTGCCTCAACCCTTGCCCTTGCTTCCTGTCCTGCAGGTGGACTCTCTTCAAAGTTTCCTAACAGTGGATGACCTGGCTTTTGTTGACTTAAACCAGTAATACTAGAAAAAAAGGTGGAGGGGGGCCCAAAAGTACTTGCTGAAGATGTGAATTGTTTTAGGCAGCCACTTCATATTCTTTTTGGAATGAGTCACGGGTATAAATAAAAACACATTTTAAAACATTTGTTGAACAGTTTCACTGAAGAAGTCAATATGTGAGTTAACTTCCTTTTATTCTCCCTTTAATTTATTTTCCATGTTTGTTTCTTTTTTAAATTAAAGCTTTAAGAAAGTAAAGAATGAAAATAGCCCTGATACGCAAAGAAGCAAATCTCACGCACCATGGGAAGAAAACGGCCCCCAGAGGTAAAGAGAATCATTGTTTTTCTAAAGGAGAACAGTAGAAATGGGATTAGTGATTGCAGCTCATTAAATAATGGAATCCAACTGCTTTGTGACTGGGTGTTACTAGCTATGGACAAGGCAGTCAGATTCCTAAATCAGCATGACGGAGAACTTTTGAAGTAGAAATCAGCAGGATGTATCCTAATGGGAAACTTTCTCCTGGAACAGGATGGGAAACTATGCATTAAGACACTACCTGGAATGTCGTTATGATGGCTTAGAGTAAGAGAGTGTGTTTTTGAACTCTAAATTAATTATTAATGATAGTCCTTAAAAAACTATACTTGAGAAGTGTATTTGAGGACTAATGATTCTTAGAAGAATTTTATTCACAAAAATATCCACATATTCAGTTTCTCTCTGTCCATGAATACCAAACCAGCAGCAGACCTGCATTATACCTCACTGGCTTTATAGTCGTGGTGATTCCATTCCGTATTTCCACTTTGTTTTCTGTTACATGGCCTAATAATTGTACCTCATTGCTTGTGGTTGATCGGACGATTAGCTAGGATAAGGAATATAAAGCTTTTAGCTCAGTCAGTGCCTGGCATACGGTCAGTTTGCCGTAAATGCAAATTGTTATTATTATCATCATTTGTGTGTTCATTTCTCACCATTGAAGGCCAGTGAGAGATCCATTCCTGAAAGATAATGACTCTTAACGATTTGACTTGCCAGATCTTACCTCCCTTTTCTTTCAATAAATCGTGTCAGCAAAGAGAACTGTGTGTGCATGATCCAGTATATCCCTGAGAGGGGGAACACTTCTGTAGGTGGGGGCTGGGGTGTCTGCTCCTCCAGGGCCTCTGTGGGCATTGTTGATCTCGTTGACCCTCCCTCTTCTACTCCAGTGGACTCTACAACTCTCCCAATGACCGCGTGAAATCCCCGAAGTTCCCTTACACGCGCCACCGAAACCCCTCCTGTGGGAGCGATGACTCCGTACAGCCAACGAGGAGGAGGTGAGCTCAACATAGGCCCTTGGTTTTTAATTTTCAACAGAAGCTCTGGGTCCCGGTCACATTTTTGTCACAAGTTATTCTCATAATGTCATGACTGTCCTCCCAAGAATAACAGAAAGATTATGTGTGGTGTTTTTTTTTTTTTTTGAGATAAAATGAGCTAGGGATCCTGAAGCATTTCTCTTTAAACAGCCCAAGTTTCAGAGAATAATTTCATAAAGTACTGGTAGGAAACTTGCTTTCTGTACAGTAACTAAGACTGATAAGTTAAAAAATACACGCTATGTATCTATTTTAACAATATATATTATATAGTATGTATAATATGTAACATATGATATATATTATGTTAGTGATATAACTTAATAATATATTAGTGTTATATTTTTATGTATCAAAGATATTAAATGCTCTGACCTGAGAAGACAAAATTACGCTTATAGGTAAATCTTAGCTGAGGCTTAGTACCCTGTTCTCCAGACTGATGTTGTTGTATACACTTGAGTAAAACCCCTTTCAAAACACAGGGAAAATGGATCCTGTTACATTTTACCCAGCAGGTCAGGTTGTTTTTGTGATTATATTTGCATGTACTTAATTTTTTTGAAGTCCATATCTAGAAGTTTTGGACTCTCTGAAAAGCAGTCTGGGCAATGTGACAGGTCCAAGAGAAGAAGACCTAGAAATGACCAGTGAAATTCATTTCATTCCTACTTCACAGAGACTGTGTTTTACTTTGAGTACCTACATAATGGTATTTTGTGACCTTTATAAGTATGAGAAGTTCATGTCATGTTCTCATAACCATCAAGATCACTGTGGATCAGGGAAACAGAAGCCCTTCTTTCTTCTCTGCCCTTATTGTTACTTACTTGCTGGTCCATCCCTGGTTCATTTCCTTTGGCTTCTGCGTTTCCCAGAGTCTTGTTCTCCATCTTTCTCAAACCAGGTCCAGCTTCACCAAAATCCTTTGATGGTTAAGGAGACAGAGGTCAACAATGTACCTTCACCTAGTAGGTCTGGAAAGGGGGAGCTAAATCATGACCACCAGTGATTAGATAGAACAAAGGGATAATAGCTGACATTTATTATGTTCCAAGGACTGAGCAAAATTGCTTGCTATATATTATCTGATCCTCATAATAACCCTGTGGAAGATGGCATATATATCCCTCAATCACTAGGCATTTCCAGCAAAGAGGGATTAAGGCAGGGAATTGCATGCAGTTGAAGCATTGAAGGAACTAAAGGTGGGGAGGTGGTGCTGAGATCTGGGTGCTGTACTGGCCCTGGGCTGGCAGGATGAAAGCTGTTTCCGCCTTGGAGCTGGCCTTCCTGAATCCGTGCTTGCTGCCGACGTGGCTGTGGGCACCATCACTGTAGCAAATACTCTTGCTGCCACTGCCAGAGGGACCACCGCTGTAGCTGATGCTGTGGGGCTCCTACTTCTCAGGAGAGCAAGACTGAATGCCATGGGTGTGTCAGAAGCAGAACTGCCTCCCCTTCTCTCCTGCCTTCAGATCTCACCTGAGCACCGCTCTCTGAGTGGAACCCAGCTGGCAAAGGAGTCTGAGAAAATGTAGTTTTCAGGCTTCCAGTCTTGACAGAACGGGAGATTATTGATGGGTTGGGGTGGGGCTGCGTACCAGTGGAAGGTACTTGGCCTAGATGAGAAAACGGAGGCTGGGGGGCTGCAGGTAACTGTCCTTTGTGATTTGGATCCAGATCTGTTCATCTGTAAAAGGCAGGGATAATAAATCATCATTTAAATATGGGAGTGGAGATTTCCTGCCCTCCCTATTAAGGATTTGTTCAACTTGGACAGCACTTAAAACCCAGGCAATACCGCAGGGAAATACTTTAAAGTGCATTTGTGTGTGTATGTGTGTTGAGGGGGCATCGGTAGTGGGAATCACTAAATATTTTTAAGACTTTGGCACTGCATGATTATTGTTAAATAGGTTTTTATAGTTTTTCGTCCTTCATTACTAGTATACTTTGACAGCATTCCCTAAATAATATAATTGCACATGTCGAGCAGATGGTCATTTTGATTTTAATATACTTGGAAATGAATTTATCAAAAAGTTTTGCTAAAATATACGAAAATTTACATTAGTTTTTTCCCAAACTAATTGCTTGAAATAGTTTGGAGCATATACATTCTGAAATCTAGACTTCATGCCTTCTATATTGAGATACATTTTTTTGTGTTGGCTTTCTGTGAAATACAGATGAGTAATTGTGGTGAGTGGATACAGGATCCTTTCTTTGGCACAGTCCAGGGGAAAGACTGTTTTGATTTATAGGGAAGAGAATCTTTTTGTCCGAGTAGCCATAGAGCCTTCTGTCTGGTTATGTGTACCACTTGAAAGGTCTTTTATTGGGCATGAGTATTTTGAGGAGACTAGCCATTGCTACATGCCAGCAAAGAAGAGCTAAAGCTCATTCTTTGTTCCTTTCCACTGTAAATGCCCTCTGAATGTCCCTGTCCTTGTCAGTCTTGCTTTATCTTCACAGATATTTACCTTGCCCCCAGGCACAAATCCCTGCAAGGCTAGAGTAACTCTGACATTTAAAACTGAGATTTGTCAACACCATGATAGAATCTCAAGGACTTAAATTTAATAATAGGAAATTCTATTTTGTGATGGATGCCAGAATAACATGTTTTGCAAAAGATACCAAAATTTTATATTTTGCCAGTTGTTTGTCATTAGATGGGTACATCTTTCAGATTCTGGCTGAGTTTAGAACACTGGTCCTTAACCTTTTTGGGTGACAGAACTCTGAGAATCTGATGAAAGGTCGGCTCATTCCTTAGGGGGGAAAAGTATATAATTAAATAAACATACACACTTTCATATAATTTTCATGGTTCATGGAGACCCTGAAGCCTGCTTGTTTTAAACATTCCTGTTCTAGAAAAAGCCAGCCAGCCTACTTTCTGATTGTACACTTTATTTTCACCCCTACCCATCTTTACACTCAGAAATGTCTGTTGAGTGCCTACTTTATGCAGGCCCTGTGTTAAACAGCACTAGAGAAAGTCCCTGCCCTTTGGGAGTTTACAGTTTGTTGGGGAAGAAATACATGAATCACACAAACGCATGTGCACTTACGACTTTTATATATTCTTGAGAGTTATGTGGTGCTTAGGGGAATTAAAAAAAAAAAACTTTATCGAAACCTAAGATGCATACAGAAAAGTACACGTGTCCTAAGAATAACTGCTTGATAACTTTTACCATCCACCATTACCAGCACCATGATGGGACGTTGTGCTGCATTGCTGAGTCAAGGAGGCCAGGGAAAGGTTCTCAGAGGCTGGATGCTTGAGCTGGAATTTGAGACAAGAACAGGCAAAGAGAGGTGAAGGAGCTAGCAAGTGCAGAGGCCTTAGGGTGGAAGGGAGTGGGGAATAAATGAGTCCAGAGAGAAACACCTCATAGGACACCTGAGGATTTGGGTTGTTAGGCCCAGTAGTTTTTAGAAGGGCGCAGATTACAAGATCACGTTTGTACTGTGTAAAGATGAGCCTTACTGTCCTGTGGAGAAAAGGTTGAAGAGAGCAGTAGGGGAAAGAGAGAGCCAGCCAGCAGGCTACCATGCGAATCCTGGCAAAGGCTAATGGGAGCTGGGGCCGAGGTGGTGATGTGGAGATTTAAGGAAGTGGATATTTTTGAGACCTGTTGGGAGGTAAAATCAATAGGGCTGGGAGGTTTGATATGACAGTTGAAGGAGTAACTGATGTCAAGAATGAAAGCCAGGCTTGAAGTGTGATGCACTGAAATAATAATCACTAGGACATTACAAGCTTAAAAGGGACAATTGTGAGTGGTTTTTGATATATTGCATTTGTGGAATCTTTGAGAAGTCCAAGTGCAGGATTCACATGGATTGTTGGATATAAGTCTGGAGATAGATTGGCTATTGGCTAAAATTTAAATTTCTTAAAGATGTAAATTGAAATAAGAAACAGAGAAGAGACTCTCTAGGTAGACGGTAGAGATAGAATGTGAAGACCAAGCCAATGACAGAGCTGGGAGAAACTCCAGCATTTATTTGGCTTGGTTGAAGAGGATTACGTTCAGAGGAAATTACTTTGAGAGAAAAGAGACGGAGGAAAAATCTAGAGTGAAAATCTGCTTATGAAAGAGCTCCCTTTCTTCTTCATTCCCAGAACGCTAGAAGCCAGATATGTATCTCCCAAGCATGAGATCAGAGAATCTCACTGTAAGAAAGACAGATATAAGACAAAAGACATACAGATACCAACTTTCAAAGAATCCACCAGTGAAATAGTTGAGACTGCCCACATCACTTTGCTCCACAGTGAAGCCATCAGTTAACATTCTCTGCACCATCCAGAGGGTTTCAGTCCTTTTAGTGCCTAATTCTTAAATATGAAGAGAGAGCCATAATCACTTGGCATTTGACGATAGCTTCTGTTTGGAAAGACAGAGACTGAAACAGACAATGAGCAGTGTGTGTGTGTGTGCATGTGTGTACTCACAGGAAATAGAGACAATATAAGAAAAATGTCTTAAAGGTATAATTACCATTTTTTTTAAAAAAGGTTTTTTTAAAAAGTTTTTTTTTTTAATTTTTTAAAAAGATTTTATTTATTTATTTGACAGAGAGAGACACAGCGAGAGAAGGAACACAAGCAGGGGGAGTGGGAGAGGGAGAAGCAGGCTTCCCGCAGAGCAGGGAGCCTGATGCGGGGCTCCATCCCAGGACCCTGGGATCATGACCTGAGCTGAAGGCAGATGCTTAATGACTGAGCAACCCAGACGCCCCTAAAAAAGATTTTATTTATTTGAGAGAGAGAGAGAGAGAGAGAGAGAGCATGAGCTGGGGGAAGGGGCAGAGGGAGAGGGAGAAGCAGACTCCCGCTGAGCAGGCAACCCCATGCAGGGCTCAATCCCAGGACCCTGGGATTATGACCTGAGCCGGAGGCAGATACTTAACTGACTGAGCCACCCGGGCACTCCCAAAGTATAATTATCTTGAGAAAAAAAATTGATATCAAAAGAGAAGAACAAGTAGGAATTCTTAGACTTCAAATTCCTGTAGCAGAATTTAAAATAATTAGTAGAAGGTTTGGAAGATAAAGTTAAGGAATCATCCCCAAAGTAGAACAAAAATAAAACAGATATATGGAACATAAGGATAAACAAATCAAACCTGTATATCAAACATCTGAGTAGTGAAATTTCCAAGGGAAAAAAAATGCAGATGAGGAAACTATTAAAGAAGTAGTACAAGAAAATATCCCAAACTGAATGATCAAACGTTATAGAGAAAAGCTATGGAGCATTTGGTATAATAGACTGGAAAATTAGATCCAGACCAAGATCCAATATCATTAAATTTCAAAACATTATAGGTTAAGAGAGAATTTTTAAAACTTCCAGGAAGGGAGGAATATGAGAGAGAAAAAGTTCATGCACAAATGTTGACAAATCAGAATGGTGGCATTGGGCTCCTTAACAGCAATGTCAGAGAAAGAAGATAAGCATTGCCTTCAAAACGCTGAGGGGAGATTCTTTGCAATTTAGGATTCTAAGCCCAGAAAACTATAATTACGTGTGTCAAAGATATTTTGAGAAATTCCAGCTCTCAAAAGAAAATGTACCTGCCATGCAGACTTTCTCTGTTAACAACTGGAAGATATGTTCCTCCAAAACCAAGGCAAGTAGTCATGAGAACTGGAAATATGGGATTCATCTTACAAAGAAGCAGAAGGAATTCCCTAGATCATGGTGAAGGGAGTAATCAAAGTGACATTTGCACAGCAGTACTAGGGAACAGATCATCTAGATGTGAGCAGGAGGGCACAGGACTCCAGGGAAGATGTTAGTGGAACTTGTAGATTACCTAAGTACTCACCCATCTCAGGAGGATTTTTGCAACTCTCAGAGTTTTGATGAAGAATTAGTGATAAAACAAGGAAAACTAAGCAACCTATAGGTACATAGAAAACTAGGCAATTGTTATCTTTAAGAAAATTGTAAAACCTATACAAGAATGGAATTGTATTCCTTAAACGCTGTAGAGATCATCTGTAAACAATATATAATTATATTTATACCAAGTAAAAATTATCGAAAAATTTGGTGTAAGGACAGAGACCTATCAACGTTATGCTGTTTGATATAAGTATGTTTGTGAAGTGGGGGAAGGTATGTCGTGATGGTGGCATGAAACAGCCATGTCTGCCCAACCGGTGTGAAGGCATGTATGATGAAGGGTAAAGACCAGAGACAAGAGGCTTAGGCACCTCTCTCAAGAAGTTTGGTGCTTTGAAAGAGAGAGGAGAGACTGGGAGAAAAATGAAGGGGGATATGGAGTCAAGCAGACGTGTGTGTATTTTTTTTTTTTTTAAGATTTTATCAATTTGTTTGAGAGTGAGAGAACACAAGCGGTGGGGAGGGGCAAAGGGAGAGGGAGAAGCAGGCTCCCTGCAGCCCACGCAGGGCTCGATGCAAGGACCCCGAGATCATGACCTGAGGCGAAAGCAGACGTTTAACCGACTGAGCCACCCAGGCGCCCCGTACATGTGTGTGTTTAAGTAGTAGAAACTTGATAACGTGAAAAGCTGATAAGAGAATTTTCCATATGGACAAGTTGAATATATCTGAGAGGTAGGAGGGTAGTTACTGAAAGTCATTGAGAAGATAAGAGGTGATGGGACCCAGACAACACAGGTGGAGGGACTGACCTTAGTTGTAAGGACAGATCTGTAAGATCTGTAAATAACACAGAAGGAGATGTAGGCAAGTGCTATTTTTGGTAACAGGAATATGAAAGAGTTGCCATCTGATGGCTACTTTTTCTTTGGAAGGAGAAAACAAAGTCGGCTGCTGATGCAGAGGGACCGGTTTATCAGAGGGTTGTGAGGTAGAAAGAGTTTGAAACTGCTTTGCAGAGAGAGAGTACTTAGATCAGAGAAAGGTGGGAGGATGTTGTGGATTCACATGAAGTTTGTGAACATGAATTTGTAGTATAACTAATGTGTCCTTCTGTTGTAACTCCCTCCAGCACCGGTCAGCCAGCTGTTGAAGGCTGGCTCAGAAAACCTGGATATTTTGATTTACCCATGTGTGGGATCTTGCCAGAAATGCTGAACCACAAACAGAGAATTGGAAGAAGTTTTGAGTATTGGCATACATGTTATCAAAATGATGGAAAACTCAGTGAGTCAGGGAGGAAATGAAGAAAGGCCAAGAGGAGTGGATGGGAAGTAGCAAGGTCAATGAACAAATAGTTCTATTGAGGTCAAAGAAAGTAGAAGGGAAGTCATGAAAATAAGCAATAATAATTAGAGCTAACATTTATTGGTTGCTTCAGTAAGCCAGGTCCTACTCTGTGCATTTTAAATGTGTTCATTTTATCATAACAGCCCTTCGTGGGAGGTTCCATGAAAACTGAGGTCCTTAGTAGAGAAGTAGTTTGTTGGAATGACACACCTCATCGGTGGAGGAGATGGGACCCACCTTCAGGTTGTCTGGCTCCAGATCTGCATGTTTAACCAGGGTGCCCCATCTGAGCTGTTCAGGAGTGTAAATAGGAAGGGGAGGAGATTGTGGCCAGAGACCAAAGTGTTTGGAGGTGGTTACAGATGAGAAAGTCCGAAGTGTGGCCATGATGTGGGCTGCTGAGTTATTGTGAAGAGGTTATTAGAGAAATGGTCAGGGGCCTTGGAGGCCAGGGTGTTGGAAAGGGCATGCGAGTGAGAGCTGATGCCAGTCAGATTATGGCAGAACTGGACTCGTCAGATTATAGATGTAGGAACTACAGACAGTCCCATCATTGGGTGAATCGTACCTCACAGACCTGCTGTGCGTTGTTGTTGTAGACTGTTTGCAGCCTCCTTGAGGTTGCTGGCTTTTGGAGGCTGGTTGGTGATATGTTCTACTTCTGGAATTGGGCATGTTGTGTGATTTAAAAATGAACGAATACAAAACAGATATGTGTGAACTGAAGTGAAACTCATTTTGCTATGCTTTCCTTAGCCAATGGATAATTTTCTATTTTTTTTAATATCTTCATTTATTTGTTTTCTATAGGAAAGCCCATAACAGTGGTGAAGACTCAGATCTAAAGCAAAGGAGGAGGTAAAAACAAAAATGGCAGGAGGGACAGGGAGAGGGAGGAAGGATTAGCATTACTCAGAGTGGAAGCCAGAACGGGGGTTGTTGTTAGTGACTCCTTTGAGGTCATTATAGAAAAATTAACTTGGAGATACCAGCTTTGGCTTCAGTTGGTTCTCAGTCTTCCATTCTGTAGCATCCTTAGCAATTTCTCTTTTTTTCTGCTTTTTTGTATCGCAGAGGAGCTGTCTTGGTTATCTATTGCTACCTTAAAATCACCCCAAAACTTAGTGGCTTAAAGCCACAACAACCATATATATGTTGTATGATTCTGTTGATTGAACAGGCTGGTTTTGCTAGTCTCATATGAAGCTGCAGTCAGAGGGCAGCGGGGGCTGGAATATTCAAGAGGCCTTTCTCTCTCCTGTTTGATGTCTTGGCAGAATGGTGGGAGGCCTGAGGCTTCTCTCTCTCCATGGCCTTTCTACCTGGCTGGCCTTGGCTTCTTGAGATGGCGCCAGGAGGAAGCAGGAGCTACCCACTCTGTGAAGAGACAGATAGTCCAGGAACTGGCAGAGAGTAGCCCTTCCACATCATTCTGTTGATTAAGTCAGTCACAGGACCAGTGCTAATTCCAGGGGAGGGGAAGTAAGCTCTACCTCCGTTGATATGGGCCAGGGGTGTGACAGTACTTTGTGTTCATATTGAGTCCACTTCAGGGGCTTAGGGCTTTGCCATGGCAGAGTTCCATTGGAAATGCTTGATTTCATGCTCTTTTGGGGAGCAGGGTGACATTTGCCCTAATCTGCTTTCACGTGTCTGTAGACTCATTCAGATGTCTGACTGAACTGGGGAGCACTGACTGAGGGAGGGATAATAATAGCTACTGATGTTTGGATTAGTCGTTTTATTGCAAAATTCTTTCTGAAGAACCAACATGAACCTTTCTGAAATTTTTTATTTGTCATAAATGTGGGTTTTTTTTTTCTTTTGTTCTTCTCATTTTGTCTTCAGGTCACGCTCACGCTGTAACACGAGCAGTGGGAGTGAATCAGAAAATTCTAATAGAGAACACCGGAAAAAGAGAAACAGGTAATATTTGATACTGTAGTTACCTGGAGCTCCGAAACCAGAGGTTGCTGTTGGTGGTAGAAGCTGTGCATCCTGTTTCTTTTTCTTTTTTCTTTTCAAGATTTATTTATTTGACAGAGAGAGAGAGAGAAAGAGCACAAGCAGGGGGAGGGTCATAGGGAGAGGGAGAAGCAGACTCTCCTGCTGAGCAGGTAGCCCGATGCGGAACTCGATCCCGGGACTCCAGGATCATGACCTGAGCTGAAGGCAGTCGCTTAACCCACTGAGCCACCCAGGCGCGCCTTTTTCTCATCTGTGTTTAAGAAGGAATCTGGCACTGTTTTGAAACACTGTTTTAGGAAACTGCAGCTCTTTGAACTGAGTTTATCTTTATAATAAGATGATTAAATAAGTTGATGATGAGGGTCGCTTCTTGTTAATTAAAAAAAAAAAAAGATCTATATTTAGGTACAACGTGTAGTGAATTTGTCTAAGGGTGGTAAGAAATGTGACCATTTCTAGAGGTATTTCTCCCTGAAGTATCTTTTAACGTGACATTACTGTCTTTTCTCCAGCCAAACCTGAGAGACTCCTTATTTCATAGATTTCATAGTCTCAGCCTCATACATGTACATGAACATAATGTGTTTATATTCATGTCAGGCACATACAGTTAGATGGATAAATCTATCCAGCAGGTAGTTCATATCTTTAAGACTCATTTTTTAAGGCTCATTCTTAATTGTTGGGTAATAATATCATTTGGCATGTAATCCGTATTCATGATGACTTAATGCTTTAATCAGTTCTCTCTGGTCTCAACGTATTTATTTAAAAATGAGGGCTCACTTCGTGAAAGAGCACCATGTTGGGAGTGAGAGGGATTGGGTTGCTGGTCGTCCCGGTTTCTAACCCAGTGGTTCTCAATGGGGGGCAATTTTGTCTTGCCCCTCTACCCTCAGAGGATGTTTGGCCATGTTTTGATTGTCACAATTGGGTAGGGGGACCACTGTTGGCCAGGGGTGCTGCTAAATATCCTGCAATGCACAGGACAGCCCTCTCCCCACCCAAGAAGTATCTGGTCCAAAAGATGTCAGTTGTGGCCCTGCTGAGAAACCCGTTCCCAGTGTGATGTGGAGCGCTGGCCTCCTTGCTTTGTTTTTCTGGGTCATATTTTTCCCTTCTGTAAAGTGAGATAGTCCGATGAGATAATCTCCAAGGTCCTTCTTCAGTACTTGGAACCCTTGTGCTTGGCACACATTGAATTGGCCTGCCTGACAATGAAGCCTGTGTACTAATAGCCCAGGCAGCATTGCAAGAGTGGGTCATTTTCTTAGGAAAGCTTTCTCTGTGGAGCCTTCTTAGGGGCTGGAGTCACACTAGGTAGAGGTGAGATCTCGATGTGTTAGGACACCTTTCTCAAGGAAATGATGATAGTTTCTTCATTTGTCAAAACCCAGGTGTGGAGGGTAGCTTTCCCTGAGGTACCCTCTTCCTGCTCTAAAATTCGGTATCTGCGTAAACCACACAAAACAAAGCAAAAAACAAATAACAAATTTTCCTCCTGTTTGTACTTACTGCTCAAGCCAGTATCTTAACACCTCTGTTTCTGTTCTGCTTGCTGTATTCCAAGTTGTGCTCATAGATGCTTCTAGTCTCAACTTCTCAGAAGGTGGTCTGTTTAAAAACATTGTCTTTTGGGCCAAAAGTGCTCATGGTGCCATTTGCTGTTATTATGAAACACTATTTAAAGGTTGCCAACAAATCCTTAAACAGCCCGTTTCTGATCCAGTTGCACGAGCTTTAATGTTCCTCAGAGGTGTCTTCTCCCTCACCAGGTTCTCCCTTTGCCTTCCCTAAAGGATTTTGTAGATTGGCTTTCTTTATAGGGTCTTGGTGGTGTGTCTGAGAATGACGGTGGTTCTGAATGTTGGTTGACATGCCAATGTACTTTGTAAGGCTATTAATGAGAAATCGCTTTCAAAACACACTCTGACCCAAAGGCCTTCAAACTCATTTATTTTACCTGTAGAAATACTGCCCGAGGGTTACGTAAGTTGCCTGTGTTTATAGAAGATGAGGTCTAGGGTCTAGCTCTCGGGGGCATAGCAAAAACTGGGCAGAGGGAAAAATACGTCTTCCATTTCTAGTGTCCACTCCTGAAAATTCTGGTGCAGGGAAGGAGGGGGGCAGACACATTATACTGTCTCTGGGCGCTGCTTCCTCATTATGTTCTGTTACCGCTAACCCCTTCTTCCCATTATTATTAGCCTTTTAGATTTTGCCAGAGCCCATTCATTCCACATCAGAGATCTGAATATTTAAACTGCAGCCCTTCTGCCAGTCCCAGTATGTCTTCTGTCTGTGACGAAGGGTTGTCTCCTCCTGTGTGACTTCCAACTTGTTCAAAAAACTCCTTTTTTGGGGAGAGGATGAGTCTCTTCAGCCCCATCCTGCCTTATCTCGGTCAGCAGTATGGCACAGCCAAGCTCTCAGCAGCATCCTTTGTGCTTTTAGTAAAGGAACCTGGTAACCCTAGAATGGGGCAAACTGAATCCTGAACATGCTGATGTTCTACTTCCTGCCAGCCAGGTCTCTAAATTCAGTCCGAATACTTCATTACCTTTGAAACCAGAGCCTGCTCTTGATACACGCTGCCTTCCTGTCTCCCTGTGGGCACCAAAGCCTGGGGCAGTGGGGAAAAGACTGTGCAGATTTGCTTTTTGAACATTTTGAAGGCTCTTGTGTGTCCAGTAGAACTCTGGACAGACTCAGATTTACTTTTTTGGAGATTGTGTGTGGTCTTTGTAGTCTTTGGGGTGTTGTTCCCTTTGTCATTCCTTTTTGCTGGAATTTTTTTTTTTTTTACAAGGATAGTTTAGATTTTATTTATTTATTTTTGTGAGAGAGACAGAGAGTGAGCATGAGCTGGGTGATGGGGCAGAGGGAGAAGCAGATTCCCCGCTGAGCAGGGAGCCCAACATGGGACTCTATCCCAGGACCCTGGGATCCTGACCTGAGTTGAAGGCAGACGCGTAACTGACTGAGCCACCCAGGCACCCGTGGATGTGTGTGTGTGTGTGTGTGTGTGTGTGTGTGTGTGTGTGTGTGTGTGTGAGTGACATAAGGAAGTCTTACTTGTTAGGTTTGAGGTGACTGGAAATACTGGGTTTGGTTTTTTTGTTTTGTTTTGTTTTTCCACGATGTCTACCTGTTGGATCTTAAGCCCCTTCACTGTTCTGGCGGATAACAATGTAAACTTCTCTTATTTTGTCTGAGGAGAAACACAAGTGAATGCAACAATGTTTATAAGTCAACTTTACCCAAAGCAGTAGCTGTGTGGCTTTTCACAACCATTAAAAGTAAGTAATAGTAATTCATACCAACTCTGGAAGGCTAATATTAGGAACAAGGATTGCTGTTTAAGCCAATTCCGATTTTAGAAAAGTGTAGCTGTGGGTAAGCACGTCCGCTCTCACCTTTGGGTCCAGAGCTGTGGAGGCTAGATGCGCAAGGGTCCTCTTGTCAGTTGTGTGTTCACACCTGCATTTCATTCCACACGGTTCCTACAGCACCAGGAGGCTTGGCTTCCTCCTTGATCTGCCGGGTTGTTGATGTCTTTCTTTACACCTTTCCGTCTTAGTTGTTTTCCCTTTACTATTTTTATAATCTGGACGAGTATCCTACAGTTTTCTAGGTTTTGAGGTTTGAGAGGACAGTTTCTTACTCCTTTTTTTATAATGAGCTGGACGTTGGAGCACCGTTTGTTGTTGGGACATCTAAGATGACAAAGGCTTATTTTCCCCTTAGTGTCCCTGCTTGTATCTTCATCTCTGTCCTCTTGCCTCCCTTTTATATCGTTCTCTCACATTATTTTTCCTCACTTAGTTCCTTTCTTTTTCTTTCCTTAGCCTTTCTCCACTCTGTCTTCCTTTTTCTTCTCTGAGTTCTGCCTCCGCTTAGGAGCCAGGGAAGCATCAGAAAAAAACCCCAAGAATGTGGATCAGGGCCTTGGTTCTGTCCTGTCCTGGTATTTGACCTTAGGCAACTCTTGAAACCAGTTTAAATCTGAGTTTGCTCATCTTTAAGGTCGGATGTATACTGCTGTCTGTTATCGAATGGGTCACAGTAAAGATCACTTAAAACCGAGAAAGTGAGAGCCCTTGACGGTGGAACCACAGGGTCTGATATTTGGCCTTGAAGTCAGGCTCTTCTTGGCCTGTCCCCCCTCCCTTCCACCCTTTTTCCAGCTTCTCTCACTTTTCTTTAGTCCTGTCTTCCTTGCTCCCACCTTCCCTACCTGTACACACGTGGTTCTTTTCAGATCAGGCCTTATTAGTCTCTGATTCATCAGTAGGTTTTAGGGATCTCTTGAAATTGTATGTAAAATTCTGTGTGTTTCCAAGTGTACAGTTTTCTGGTGATAGGGTCTGTAGCCTTCATCAGATTCTTGAGGGGGGTGTCTTTGTGACCCCCAAACATTTATCAAGGGATCATTATGACCGAAATAGTGAAGGATAGATTGATACTGGGAAATGAAATTGATATTTCAATTCACTGGTAGGATTAACAACTAAAATGCTTCAGTTTTCTTTAGAGATTACTTCCTTTGCTCTACTGATTTGTGAAATAATTGGTTCGACTAAATTCATCAAATTGGGAACCTACCAAGTACAAGGCAGTATGAAGCTAATGATCTATGTGAATATTAGATTATATCCATTTTCACTAGTTAGAATTTTGATTCTTACACCTGAGATCAGAAGGCTCAGCCAGCCTGTCTCTATAGGTCTGAGCCTATGAGCCTTGCTCAGGACTTGCCCAGGATGTACGTTGAAGGAGAACCAAGGGAGTAGACTTTTCAGAGTGAAACCTTTCACAAGCCGAGATTTCCCTTAAAATACCTTGGGCTTAATAAAATATCCTTTACATTCAAAGAAACCAGTCTGCAAAATATCCTTTGTGCTATTGATGAAAACAGGGAGTCAGTCCTTTGAGCGTTCACTGGGGAGAATCTGTGG